GGAAACCCAAACATGGCTAGCCTTATAGTGCTTGCTTTTGAATTCAAAAAATATATTATTACTATATATATATATATATATATATCACCTAATTCTTTTGTAATTAATTATTTTAGGCTTAAATTTTGATTTTTTAGCACTCTAGCCTATATATGAAAAATTGAATTATACAATTTCGACATTTTCATCCATAAAAATAAGTGTTTTACGTGTAAAAATCAAAGTTTATGTGTAAGATAAGTAAATGCATAAAAGAATCTACATTATAAGAGTTAAAAAAAACATGCATAATGTTCAATAAAATGATCCATCATACTCAATTAAATTAGATTGACTCATAATAATCCTTCTTCTTCTTCTTCTTCATTAAGCACCTCCACTTCCCTCTTTTCATAGTTTGTTCCTACCTTTTTTTTCCCAAGATTTTTCTTTATAAATTGAACCCAAATCATATTTCTCCCACCCTTGCCATTAATCCATCATGTATGTGACCGTACGTCAGTGCAATCCATTAAACTTGCTCCAAGTCAACTCCCACATCCCAAGATAAATGCTTAAATTGTCATTATGTCAAAGAATCAGCACAAGTGCTTGGGAAAAAAACTTCTACTTTGTTACTATTTAATTATACAAGAGCCTTCTAGACTTATATATACAATTAATGATCATACTAATGATAGATAATCATACGTACAATTAAGTATTGTAGCAATATGAGCATTTAAACCCTGATTTGCATCTCATAAATGAATTCATATAATGACACTTTATGATGATTTATGATTTTGCAATACATTATAATGATTATAAATCATATTTTAGATAGAGTTGGCAAACTTATCCACGATTTCATTATATGAATATGATGACAATTTATTTAAACCTTTTTACATTCACTTCATCCACTAATAATGGTTCAAATAAGTTCTCTCTCTCTCTCTTCAAACCCAACTTAATGTTGATTGAAGTTTTCTTTCATTTAAAAGATGTATACATAAACATTTTAATAATACATTTGCTTATAATATTATATGTAAATTCCACAAGAGAATGGTAGTTGACCCAACTTATACTAAAGTTATTGTATACATTTTAAATAAATTATTTAGTACTTTGTTTGTGTACCGTATCTATCCATCATATTAGGAATGAAAAGCAATACTAGCGCTTGTTTCTAAAAGTTAGAAGTAAATCATGAATGTTTATTGAAGCTAATTAATTATGAATTTTATGAACAAGAAAATTTATCTAGTTAAAATTTTGATAACTTTCCATTTATTCATTTATTCAAGTGTAAAGAGAGCAAATTTTATTTTTTGGTCACCAAAAAAGTGTCATGACCTTGTTGACAGTTCAATAATTCTAATGAAATTTTCCTCTAATTCATGATATATCTTATTTTTTTATGATAATATATTTTGAATCATGTACTTCTTCTAATGTTTTTTTCTTTGAATTATATTATGATTTGGAACACAAAGTTTTCATTTAAATGCAAAGATGACATGCTCAACTAAGTGAAAAGTAGAATTTGATTCATCATTAATTTTGACAATAGTAGCTTATGCTATGATCCTCTTGCTATGAAGATGATATTTTAATTAATAAGTATATGGATTATACTAACACCTTAAGCCTATACTCTCTTGACATTCAATTTTAATATCTTCATCTTCAATATTATTTTTATCACATTGATTGTTGATTTTATCATATTAATTTTAGATAAATGGATGAGTGCATTTCCCACTTTCTTTACCTTCTTATATGATATGTAATTGATAACTTAATCTATCAAACCAACAACATTAAATAATTTTTAACGCCTTATATCTAAATATGTACTTGAAACTCCAATAATCATGAATAAATTATAATTAGCACTATTTAGATAACATATCTAGTCATTAGTGCATGGACAATTAATGCTAAGGGTCTGTTTGGGGCAACTTATAAGTGCGGTGGCATTTTTGAAAGCGTCGCGCCTTGTTTGATAAGTACCGTTTGGATCGTGTGTTTTGTCCGCTTATCCGAAAATGCGGTTCCATTTTTACACTAAACGCAGGTCATGGGCCGAACCCCACAATCGACCCTCGAGCCACGTTTCAGGATAAATTGTTTATCTTGAAAAGCACAAGCTGCCCCAAACGCACCCTACGTCTATGCCATTATTTGGCTTTTTTTTGCAATGGATTAATCATCAATAAATTGACCTCTATGCCTCATAGATTTGGCTCAATCCATGTTTCTTTATTATTATTGTGCTCTTTAGTCAATATAGGACCTACAATTATTTCTCGACAACTCATTGAGATCACATTTGGATTAACTTATATCATCTTATGGCCCATAAGTATATCTTAAGACAACCCTTGAAAACTTTATAGCTAATTCAGTTCTATTTTCCCTATATTGGACCCTCAGTATCCTTAGCTCACCCTTGATAGCCTACAAAGAAACCAAGGATGACTCAAGTGGCCAACTTAGGTTGAATAACCCATGAATGATGATCCACCATAACAAGTTAGGTCAGTTTGGTCCTAACTTAGACCACCATGTGATGTAACACATCATGTAAATTAATTAAATAAAATCATATTTTCAATAATAAGAGCCCAAGAAAATATTTAAATAAGAGCTCAAGAAAATATATAAGAAAGAACCCATCATAAGAGCTAAATCAATAAAGAATAATTAAAATTTTAAATTCACTATTCAAAAGTAAAATTTTAAATTTTAAAAATAAGTATTAGTTGATTGCTTAATAAATTTTGAATGATAAAATGAATTAATGAAATTGGTTAGCACATTCCTCTATTAATGGTCGCCCTTCAAAAATAGTTTCTTATTATTGAATGATGTTTGTTTAAGAAATAATATAATACTTATAAAAAATGTTATTGTGTAATCAAATTTCTTAAATTTTGAAATGATAAATTTTTTCAGAGAATTGCTTTCTCGTTATGTTAGTATTTGGATGCCCAATCTTTCCTTTGTGGGGTTACTTATTTTACTTGTAAGTATTTTCTAATCATCTCAAAGTTTCATATCGATCACCCTCTTTCCTCTTCTTTATATTAATTAACTTTTAAAGCCATCCATTTACATCTGGCCTTTTAAATCCACTCTAAAACATTTTTTTCTAGCTTATAGCTAGGCTTAGATGAGAAGTTATATAATCATATTCACCACACCACTATGAGACTATAAACCCCATCAAATTATGTCAGCTACACCACATCACATGGGCACATAAAAAAATAACCTTTTAACATTATTTTAATGAATTAAGAGCATTTTAACCCCAATACATAAAGAGATATTTTAAATTAGCATAAAATAATCTAATCTAAATCATTTTTCAGTCTTCCATGAAATGGTTTCAACTTCATACCATCTACTATAAATAATGATTTAACATCCTAGAGTACCCATTAAGGATAAATTTTTTATATTTACACTATATAAATTTTATTCTCTAAGGATAACTTCAAAATCATTTAACATTATTTTAATTAATTAAGAGCATTTTAACCCCAATACATAAAGAGATATTTTAAATTAGCATAAAATAATCTAATCTAAATCATTTTTCAGTCTTCCATGAAATGGTTTCAACTTCATACCATCTACTATAAATAATGATTTAACATCCTAGAGTACCCATTAAGGATAAATTTTTTATATTTACACTATATAAATTTTATTCTCTAAGGATATCTTCAAAATAAATCCAAACTTGCCTGAGGTGCAGTAATAATGTCATCCCTTCCATTAAATCCTTATAAACCACTCACCTTTTCATTAAAAAATATAGATCACATTATAAAACATTAATTTAGAGAATAAATCCATTTATTGATGATAACTATGTAAAAAAGACCACACACTTCCATTAGTATGTCTGATATTTGTTAAACCTAATAAAATCAAGTTAACTTATCTGGAATTTTGGATCACTAGTTTGTCCATATGACTAAGCAGGAACTTAACATCTCCATGATATTACACACACACACACAACAACAACAACAACAACAATAGTTAGCCTTGGGCCACTTAGCTAGCCAAATCCTAATCAAACTTGGTCAAATATTATGCAATGTTGACATCAACCTAACTCTTGATTTATATGATTATCTAAGTAGGGCCCTAAGGAATAAAATCAAGTTAACTTATCTAGAATTTTGGATCACTAGCTTGTCCATATGACTAAGCAGGAACTTAACATCTCTATGATATTACACACACACACACACACAACAACAACAACAATAGTTAGCCTTGGGCCACTTAGCTAGCCAAATCCTAATCAAACTTGGTCAAATATTATGCAATGTTGACATCAACCTAACTCTTGATTTATATGATTATCTAAGTAGGGCCCTAAGCTTATTCAATGTTTATAGCATCTATATACAACCTTGTTTATCCTCTCTAGGTAACTTTGTTTAGAGGCTTGACACATTTAGTGCCTTATTAACCACATGATCCCATTAATGGCCCACATCACATTAACCAACATATAGTCTCTGTTTAATCATTATTTAGTTAGATCTATATCAATTAGAACTTAGCTCCAAGCTACATGCTTAGAGTTTTCATTCTTTTTCTCTCTTTTTTTTAAGGAGTCGTCAACTTGACTATTTATAATTATCATATTATTCCCTTATTTGAGTCAATCTTTCTCCAGGATAAAATGAATGATTCGAAGAGCAGAGAAAACAAAAGGAAGGATATACAACTAGTAATAAATAAATGAGAGAAAAAATTTTAAGAACTTTCGTAAAGTGAAATTTATGTGGATAGCCCTAAAGCGTACGCCGGAAATAAGATTGGCTCAAAATTATCTTGGAAACATCTCCACAGGAGGACCTTACGAAAGCAACCCACAATCAGAGAATCAAATATAAATGCTTGTTTTGGGGCCAAGAGCGGCTCCCAAAGGAACATATTCCTTTGTTTAATTACATATTGAGGGATGCCCAAGAAAACTCTCGATAAAAATAGTCTTACTTATGTGATTAATGAAATCCAATTATTGGGGGGAATGATTGGATTTAAATTATCTCAAGGGAAAAGTTTTGATGTTTTTGACATATATACTGGGCCATAAGATAGAGGATGAATCACCGTAACCACTACGATCGACAATGCTTAAGCATGTAGGACCTACGAGACGATATCAACAATTTGTCAAGCAAATTGAAAAGGCCAAAAGAGGTATCAATATGAAAGAGGAGAATCCCTAAAAAGGTAGAGGTAATCAAATCAGGATACCACAGATTCGTCATCCCAATCTATGTAGACCTTATTTCTAACTGGTTGTGAAAGTTGTCGACCCAAAATAATCGAAGGCTCCTTGTCAGCAATCTATGAAGTATATCATTCAAGGAAGTCTCGGTAACCCTAAAATAAAAGGAAGGAAACTCTAATTTCTATGACCTTAAACAGGTAGATCTTAAAGAGATGAGGCTTATGCTTGCTAAGAAAAAAAATGGTCGAGCTGCTGCTAGAGAAAAGAGCAAAGGAGGTTCAACAACAAAACTATAAAATTCTCTGCCTAAAGGACTTACCTTTGACACACTAGTTGTACTATACAACCTCCTAGGTAAAATTTTATGCTTGACCAAGTCATATATGGAGATGTGCAGGGACTTCACTTCAGGTGTATGTATAAGATGTAGTTGTCTACCATAATCCAATGACATGGAAGTTCTATTAAACATGTTTGGGGATATAACCATGCAACAAACCATTTTTAAACAGGCTCAAAGGCTATGCAAAAAAGTAAAGCGTGAGTTTTAAAATATCCATAATATTTTAACCCTAAGTTATAATTAATCTTAATCATTTATTATTAAGACTTTGCAAAAATTTTAAAAATTTAGGGTCATTAATGAGCCTAGATTTTTTTTTATCAACCACAATATGAAGATAAAAGAATGACAATGACAAAACGAAAATCAAGGCAAACCCAAACGAAATATATCAACAGTATGGTGTCGTTGAGTCAACATCTTATAGTAAAAGCGATCGGACTCCACATATACATGCCCAGACTTAATTATATACAAAAATATAAATTCAAACTTAAGGTATGGGACAAGAGCTAATGCCCCTAGTCCCCGTCACATGGCTCGGCGTGTCATTTGCCTCGAAACGCATGCTTGTGCCTTATTTTTTATACAGACTTGATCATATGACTATATCAAATAAACAATAAAAGGAAAATAGAGGACTCGACAATTAGAAAATGTTAGCACGAGTCATCTAATAAAATACATGTGAGCCATGCCTGACAGGAGGAGCTTATTGCAACACTTGCAAGAAATAGTTAGTATGAAATCATGACATTGCTAGTGTTAAATCATGACATTGCTCTTCCCTTAGTAAACTTGTCGGTGTGCATATTTAGGCATGACTTCATATAAGAAAATAGATCCTAATATACTTTTGCACATGTTCACGCTCACTAAACATACAAAAGCATAAGTAAAATGATGCTTGATTAGGGGAGTGAAACCATGAAAGAATAATATTTAGACATAAAAAAAGACTACCTACCATCCTAATCCTAACTGACACACAATCTGTTGAAAAGTGTCCTTACCAGCATCTAAATGCAGGGTCAAGTCTCTAGGTATCGTATGACTTCAACGTGGTTGCCACACAGGCCCTCTCCTGAAGATCCAAGGGAACTAAAGAATGTCACCCAAGATAAATTTTTAGAAAAAAAGTTGGTCTTGCATATGACCTAGCTTGTTATTTGCATAATTTGGAAAAGTTGAATGGATATCATAAGTAGAAAAATAATTTCCTTATTTTAAAATAGGGTCATTAAATGCAGACCTGTAACATGCAATATAACACAAGTTAGCTCCCTTGGATCCTTAGCACAGTTATACTTGTGTTGATCCAAATGCTTCAAATCTTATTGTTTCCCGGGATCCAACTGATGAATAATGCTCGTTAAAGCACTGTGACCGGCATTTGGTTACTTACCTAATGAGTCTGGCTTGTTATCAAAACACACATGCATATAATAGTGCAAGCATACAACATACAAGGTCACTAATCATGCGAATGACAGACTCAAGTGCATATATGTTGTACACTTAATGGGTTCAGGGGCTCGAAGGCATAACCAATATTAAATATACAACATGGAAAAGCTTATGGTATTCAAATGTAAAACCACAAGAGACGTGGTATTATGCCCTCCCTATAAGAAATTTTCACACCGACAGACTAACATTGCTAGCTGGCTTTTGCCACAAAAACCACACACACATATTAGCATGTGCATGTGATGATACCGTGAGTGCCAATGCTCATTGATACACAAATTATAGGTATGTTCTAAAAGCAAAAAGATCTAAGTTTTCATCATTATAGGTATGTTCTAAAAGCAAAAAGATATGTTCTAAAAGCAAAAAGATCTAAGTTTTCATCATGCAAATGAGTTTATCATATAACATAACATTTTAAAAAGTTTAATTTTCACGCAAATACAAGCATGAATTCGAACATGTCATACGTGGGATCCAAAGAATGCAAGTTCACGTGAAAAACACACAAATATGGAAGTGAAGTTAGCCACTTATCTATTGGTTTGACCGGGTTAGTTAACCGGGTGTCGTTGTCAGCGGGGTCAGTTGGGTCGAGGCAGAGCGAGATGATCAGACCCAAGTGGTTGGTCGACGACCGGGGCGCCTGTTTAGACCCACATGGTCGGTCGACTAGGCCAGGGTGGAGGTCAGACCAAGTGGTCGGTCGACCAGGCTAAAATGGATGGTCATACCCAAATGATCGGTCAACCGGGCCAAGGCGGGCGGTCAGATCCAAGTGATCGGACGACTGAGCCTCAGCGGCCGATTAGACCCAAGTGATCGGGCAACCGATCCCAACTGTTGATGCAGACCTAAGTGGTCGATCGACCCAATCAAAGGGGCTTATCGGACCCAAGTGATGCATGCAATTGTGATCAAACATTTAAGCATATGCAAACATGCATGTTTAATTTCTAGTTTTACTCTTCCTAGCACCCTCACATAGATACCTAGGTTTTTGTGCATGGATATGCAACATAGTCACCTCCAGGTTTAGCAAATGATGTGAGAAATTTTTCCCTTCGATTCCTCAAAGGAGAAGTTCTCCACGAATCGTAGAATGGATTAGCTCTGAAGCTTTTTCCATCCTAGAATTTTCCACAACTTTATAAAATGAACTAGCTACAAAGCTTTTTTCATTTGACAAATTTAAAATATTTCAACCTTTATAGGGAAGGTTGGAAACACCAATACTAGGGGAAGT